CCAAAGAGCCCAAAGCCGCCTCTTCCCATCCCACGTTGTCCCTCTTTTCCTCAGGCGTGCTTTGACGCCAGCATCACTGGGATGGTCACGAGCCCTTCTGTAAGAAGCAATCTGATGCAGAGAAGGCATCGCTGTCTCACTTAGCCCTGCACCAAGTCCCCTGCAGGCTGCCTCGTCTCTCCCGCCGGCACAGCCCGTGGCTCAGCAGTGCAGCCCTGCGCTAATTAAGCAGTGCGGCACAGCGGGGTGTGTGTTCCTTGGCCATCACAGCCTCCCTTGGACACACTGCAGAGAAAAGGCTGAAGCTTCGCAATGTTAGCCTTCCAAGAACCGCTTTAATTGCCCAGTAATGCACACCCTGGGGTCTTGTAATGTGCTTCTAATATGGAGCATTTAAAATATGAATACTCCAAAACAATTACAAGGAGTTTGGTGCTCTGCTGAGTGTATCCTTCCACTCTGAAAAATAATCCATGACAAAGGAGTATGATCAAAGTGAGGATACCAGTGTTTCTGAAATCTGTCAGGGTCTCCTTGGGGCAGCAGGACACACCACTTTTTCTCTCGGTGCAACTTCACTCTGTTCTTCCAGGATTAAAAGAATTGCCAGATTGGGACTCCAGATGATTCAGACCTACCTCATCTCCCTCTGATCAGCTCTAGAATAATTTTTTATTTAAGATACTGTCTAAAGACTCTGCCAGCAATAGTAAGAGAGGAGAAACCACAGAGCATGGCAGGCTATAAGACAGTTTGGATAGAAATGTCAGAGAAGTGAGGGATGTTTCCTATGCTCTGTCATTCTTTTAGTAAATGATTTCTGGACAGGTTTAGGAGTGATTTTTTACTTGCTTATTTACAAAGAATGAAAGAAAGTTCTACTTCTCAGAAAGGATTATGGCTCAGCTAATTTTAACTTCTAGTATTTCTTTCTACATTCTTAACCAAATTTGATTAGAGCTTGTTACAACTGTCATATTAGGAGAGATGATTTCTGTATTCAGAATCAGCAAAAGGAATTGCACTGAAACTGCTGAAAATAACGAAATAGAATTCAAACATTGGGAATTCATGATCTAATGCTGAACATTTAAGAAAGTCAAAGGCATTTGGAAACAGGCAGTTGGTTTCAGCTGGAGCAGTATGCAGTATTAACTCTAGAAAGAGGTACTACAAGCCAACTGTGGTAACTCATGAATTCCAGGAATGGATGTATAATTCACAGTATGATACTACGTACTGTAATGACATTATATGCCATTACTTAAGATAATATCACATATTAAATTCAGATTGTGAAATGAAGTTCAGTTGCTTTACTGCAATCAAAGATCTATAAATGTCCTGTTGCTGAAACTTTAGGTTATGTATTAAATCTGTGTATATTCTCCGAAACTCAAAGTGAACAACTTGCGCAAAAACCTCCCACTGGAAAATGAAAAATGGGTCTTTAGAGTAAGTACCAGTTTATGCCCCTAATTAAAAACAAATGCTGTTATTGGAGTCACTGACTGTGTGGAATTAGAGCAGGGATGAATTTAGTCTGAATTTCCTTTGGAGAAAAGAAAGACGTTTGAAAATATCGGCATTTACTTCAAGAAATCAGCACAGCGAACTGGTGTGCCAGGATTTGTGTCCCTGCTGCTTTTGGGAAGGGCTGAGGAAGTGTTCTGCAAAAAGGCTTGTCTTTCTCCAGTGTCTAGAGGCAAGAACAAGCCATCAAAGGCAGCAAGAGGCGATCAAAGTTTTGCTCCCTCTTACACAGCAGTAATCCAGAAATCCTAGGTTTGAGGCAGCAGAGCTGGCTTAGTGCGTATTTCAGTCTCCAGTAAGGGTGAGAAGCTTTCAGCAATCCTGAAGTTAAAAGACAGCATTATTATGCTGCATCTGTTGCTACAGGACCAGGTCAGCTCTGTTCATCTTTCATCTGCTGTTTCATTAGGTGGCCTCGTGTAGGACAGACTCACTTGAAGTCTCTTAAAGCAGCAGCAGTGATGCCTAGCTAGCCTGCTGTTTATCACTGTCCCTAAATGAATGGACCCAGAGGGATGCACTGCTGTATTCTGTACGTAGTGTTAGGGTCCTGAAATTTCTCCTCTTTCCTTACAACACTAGAGTTCAGTGTGACCATAGGGCAAAGGAGCAGTGCTGGGGAGAGCCTCTTCATGACCTGCCTCTTAGCCATAGGAAATACCTTCTACCTGAGACCTCATTAGATTCACTGTGCATTTCATGCCAAGAATTATTTGACCCAAGCCACCGGACGTTGCGCAACCAGAACAGCTCCCCTTTGCTCATTGTTTCCAGATACTTTTTCTTGACATAAAACCAGTTTCATTCTTAGGAAGGGAACGTTTTTGAACAGAGCCTTTCACCTCTGGGTCACTAGCTGAAATCTGGCCCTGGTTGGTAGTGACCGAAAATCATTACCAGCTGACGGCTACTGGGTGAAATGAGCTGGTGAGTCTCATTCCAGTCCCTAATGGACACATCTCAGTAAACACAGTCACAACTGGCACTAACTGGCATTCTCAGCTGAGAGACCATGAACTGAATGGGGAAGGAAATTGAACCTTCCTCTTTGTCCCCTGCCTGGGGTTTTGAAACATTATGGACAGGCATTTTATACCCCTATCATTTCACAGGCTGTTTTTACTCTAAATGGATTTTCAAAACTTTGCAATTTTCATGCAGCATGATTCAGCACAGCCTGATTGGCCCTCTCAGTATAATTAAGCTCATCTTATGGTTCCCCTCAGTAGAAGCTGAGCTGTCTGATGCCACCTCCCAGTACAAATGGCGAATCTGATGTCATATCTCAGTAGGAATGGAACCGTCTGATGTCACCTCAGTGCTAACAGGACGTTTTGTAATATGTCATCTAGGGCTGCAGGGGAAATCTTCTAATCCATTCACTATGCTACACTACAATAGAACATAACACAGTATAATGTGTAGGTTAACTTAGACACCCTCAGGCAGATTTTGGATAGACAGATGGATGGATGGATAGATACATTTATACAAAGTATACATACATTATATCACTCTATTGATTTTTAAAAAGTTCCAGGTCTGCCTGGCTATAATGAGATTTTTGAACTTTGTGTTGCGATCAATGAGGGGAATATTATTGGCCTGGAGAATTGATATACCCGCTCTCTGTGGCTTGTTCTGCTCCTGGACTGCCCCTGCCCCCAAGGTGTACGATTCCATCAGACACTTAACCTCTTTTACAGTGTCATCAGGCTAAAAGGAATCTAATAGTGACACGGGACTTGTGCTCAGCACTCTGGCACTATTGCTTTCCTGTCACAAATAATTTATAGCTTTCTATTTCCATCCCTTTGCCTGCACCCCATCCCCTCTTTCTGTTTCTCTGGGCTGGGGGAAATCAATAAACTCACACAACCAGAGTGGCACTTCAGGGGGTTTTAGGGGGAATGTGAGGGAAGAGAAAAGAAAAGAAAAAAACAGAAAAGAAGAAAAAAGTTATATTATTTGCCCTAGCACAGACTTCTCAGATCAGCTCCTCAGCTAGTACAAATCAGCATGACCTCAGAATCTGGCCCTGAGGCCCTCATACACCTTCTGTGTAAGTCCTCAGCACCGATAGATTAGGGCCCTGGTACTGCTGACCTATATGGGATGAGGATCTGGAGCTCCATCCCCAGCTAGAACCTTGACATTCCCTGTCTCCAGCTACATCCCAGGCAGCCTCTCTGTCGCTCCAGCTACTGCCCAGGCTTCATCATGTGTGTATTGGAGTTTCCTAACATGCTGAGTGATATGCTCTGAAATACCTTTCTTTTCCTAAGAAGGTTTCACTCTCAGGAGTTGTGCTTTTTCAAAAATGCCCTCTCAACGTCTCTGCCTATCTCTATCCATGCCATACCGCTCACTAGCCACACATTTGCTCTTTGAAGTTTTACCAGCTTATTCTTTAGAACGCATCTTTAAGGGAAGCTCTTGGGTGGGCAGGGAGAATGTGTTATTTGCTTTCACTTTCTGGAGAGATTTCTGGGGAGAAGTTGAAGCTAATATAATGCAGGGCTGAGAGTTCCAGAAACTCAGGCTGAAGAGCATCTGCAGCCTTCACTCTAATTGGAGAGGCTCGTTTTAATCTCAGAAAGGAATTTGGTCTCCATGGCCTCCTCAGGTCATGGCTTATTTGCTGAGTTCCTTGGTGAAGCAGTCATTCCTGAGTCACAGATACCCAACATCTGCCAGGCAGGCAGGGACCCTGCCAGGCAGGTACGAGGTGCTAGTGATTTTCTTTCACCACAGACCTCAGCTGGATTTAAACCAGCAACCTGGAGGTGAAAGATTTCACGTAACAAGAAACGGAGCACTGACAATTACGTTCAGTTTATTTTCATTCTGAGCTGCATATGAGCTTTGTGGCATTCTTTGAGACATCATTTTGCATTCCCATGCTGTGTTCATTCACCACCTGATAAACACCAATTTTTGCCTTCTTTGCTGGAGCTTCTTTTTCCTGGTGATCTATATCCCATCAGCACTTCCTACAGATGCCTTCTGCTCCCACCTTCTTATTTATGAAGGGCAAGGGCTTTGGGCAAGCCTTCCATCAGTTCAAAGCACTCAGTTCTGTGCCAGAAAGGTATTTTTTAGGTACACAACAAAATTAAATCCAGCAGTGGCTCAATTAGCTGCAAAGACTTCTTTGTGGTCATGCTGGCAGATCAGTTCATAAATGATAATACAGTTGCTAACACATAGAAGATCCTAGCTCATTCATTGAGCACCACAGTTATGCAGTGAATAGCGAAGTTTGAGGAGAAGATGTCAGAGCAGGGCAAGGACAGTTCTCTGGGAACTGGACCATTAAAGCAGTAGAATCAGGATCACAAGAAGGCAAATGAGGCCACTCTGCTGTACCCAGAGTTCAGACTTCAGGTTCTGACAGCTGGATTGCAGGTATGCAAAGGCACAGAGAAGTTGCAGTTGAGTTCTGAATGTATTTTGCTCTTTTCCAGGATCATCAGAACCAAAGTTCAGCAACCTTTTCACCCAACGCCAGACGGGAGCGGGACAGGTGTGACTGCACCAGGACATACTATCGGTAAGAAGACTGGCACAAAGGGTGGTGACAGGACAAGTGGACATCAGGATGAAGCTTAGTTGAGGGAACAAAGTCTGACGAGCAGATGCTAAGCAGAGCAAAAGGGAGGAGGTGGAGGGGGGAAAGAAGCCTCAATGCAAATCAGAGGTTTCTGTTCTTCGTTTCCCTTGTTGCATTGCAGAGAAGGGAATCATGGCAGAAAACCATGTTTTTTGCCCAAAGTGATTCTGCCTTAACATCCATTTCATGTTCATGCTCTTTCCTTCGCCTCCCTAGAGAAAAATATTTACCACTATCCTGTCTAAGCACCCGTCTTCACCTTTTGTCTCCTTCTTACTCTGACTCTCTTTTCCCCTCTTTCTCCCAATTTCTCTTCTCTCCCTTTGCTGGAACTGGTCCATTTCTTAGAGCTAGTAATACACAGACCAGGGTAAAGATATTCCCGACGCCTCACAACTGAGTTCTTCATTGTTCTAGCTCTGCAGTCAGGTATACCATAGGTGTATTTCACTGAGAAAATGCATTTTCTGCTGGGGGAGATGGGTTTATCGAGATGAGCAGAAGATGGAGGCTGTAATAAAGCGACCAAATGTCTCCTAGTCTGTTGTGTTCAAAGGTACTGTGCTAGATGTGTGATGAGGTACTTTTCACTGATGTCTCTCTGGGCTGTATGGTCTGCTGTTGCTAGCATAGCTTTATCCAGTAACAATTCAGAGCAGGAAAAAACATGCAGTATTCTGGGATACTGTGAAACACAGTGGCTTATTCGTGCCCTAAGACCCTGTCTTAGGTACTGTTGGTTACTGAGAGTCAGCCGCTACACAAGGATTTACTGGAAAGTGCTGGTCTACATGGGACAGAGCTGGCAGATATAATCCTGTACACAAACTGTGTTCAGGAGCACAATGGAATTAACGGGCCAGTATGGAAGAGCGTTTCTGGATGGCCTTTTCATCTGGACTTGCTCACTGGACTGGGAATCACTGACCACAACAGATGGAGTTGGTAGATATTATTCCTTCTTGGAAAAGTAGCGCAATGTCTAGCTGAGCTGGGATAGCGATAGTGATTGTGAACGCTGCTGCTGGAGTCTGTCATAGCTCTGGGATGTACTGGGAAGTGTGGGTCTACATTGGATAGTGGTGACAGGTTCTGCTCCATCCTGGAAGGCTTGTGTTGGAGGTATTGATTGCTTCAGGTCAGTGTTTTATGAACCTAATGATGGGTAGTGGCCTATAAGAGAACTGGGATATTCTCCCCATTACTGGGACATGCTGAGACATAATGGGCATGACTACTGGATGCATAGCTCTACTTGTTCTATACTCTGAAGCCCTGATTATCATGAAGTGTTAATTTCTAATCTGAATGACTTGTCATTTCTGATGTACTGGAAACTCATGACCAATCTTGGACAGCCCTTAGCAGCAGAAGTCTGCCTGTTGACATTGGTCAGTGCAAAAGGAAGACACTACATTTTTATTAATCTGGGTTGGAGTATGTGTCACCAACTCACCATTTGTTCTAGTAGGGAATTTAATTTATTGGCCCAACACTGAAGCGCTTCTAACCTATGCTAAGAAGGTAGTTTTTCAATGAGTGTTTTGGGTGGACACATAAGAGGCTGGTCTGGCTAAGACAGAACATTTGCACTTCTGGTGGAAAAATGCTGAGAGGAAACAATCTGGCAAAATACGGATGGGTTAGCAGGTGACTAGAGAATGTGGCCTATGCAGCATTGCACTCAGTTACCATGGCATGCACTGGGAAGCCTGTTCTAAACTGGGATATAATAACAAGGTTTAGCTTGTTGGTGGAATACACTTGCTTGTTATTAATGGCCCTGTACTGGAAGGCTGCGGAGCTATGGTATAGGAGTGGACTAGCAAAGCTGGGATGCAGCAACATCAGCAGTAGAGCAAGTATGAGTCCTTCAGCGTGAGGGGCTGGAAGTCTGCTCAGTGCTCAGGCTTTCCTATGAGACTGGTGGCATGCATAGCTTTCACCTGGGGGATCCCCGAGTGCTGTGCTGCTCTCCTCATGGCCCTTTTTCCCTTTTCCTTTTGTCCAGTGCCCAGCACGGCATCCCCTCCCGTCTCCAGTGCCTCCAATGATCCAGTGGGCTCTTACTCCATTAACGGGATCCTGGGGATTCCTCGGTCGAATGGCGAGAAGAGGAAACGTGATGAAGGTAGGGGGAGGGGTGAAGCTCATCCTCCCTTTTATATTCTTTGTCCCCATGTACAGGCTCCAATTTCAGGCCAAGGTTTGCAGCTGCTCCAGGGGCTAGATCAGTTTTAGCAACAGAGCCCAGTCCCCCGCCACTGCCCTGCTGGCTTGGAATGCTCTTCTTCCGAGGCCCTTTCATGACAGGCTGCGTCTCCAGACATCTGCTCGGCAGGCAGAGAGTCGTCTCCATTGCTGGAGCTGATCCCAAGTTCATTCACTGCTGGAAACGGCTGGAACTGAACTCCCCAGGTGCCAGCAGGTGCCCGGACTTTGAACTGCGGGTAAACATGGTTTCCCCGACTCACTCGTTTTCAAACAAAATGCCATCTCAGAGAAGCACCAGCAATGTGGGAGTTATCTTTCATTCCCCTTGCACACAAGTTCCTGCCCGGTGATGTGCCCTGAGCTACATTAGCTGGTGATCGTAAGGGCCCAGTTTTCAATGGGTAGCATCTACCACAGCAGAACTGCCATGCTTGCAACAGTCTGAAAGCAGAACAGGAGGTCTTCTGAGTGCTGTGGCCCTAAGGTTATTATCTAAGCCTTTCACTAGGGCTCTAAGGAATTAGGATTAAGCTATCTGCTTTTCCTTCCTACCTGCTAGGAAGGACTCAGGGCAAAGTGAATCCTGAAATGAGCCAAAAGCTGGAGCCTTAGGTCTAGATAGACTGAGTCAGGAGGGGCGGCTCAGGTCTTGGTGCTCTTATGGTGGCTTTGTAAACTTTTTTTCTTAAATGTTGCTCTTTTAATTTGATGCATTCAAAAATTGAGGGCCAGGAGGTGAACTTTTCTAAAAGTAGTGCCTGATCAGTTTGTTCGGTTCAGCCTTGCCTTCAGTATGTTGGTTTCTGCTATTGCCTGTTGCATGGGGGGAACCTCTTAGCAGTATGGGTGGCTCAGTCTGCTGTGTATGCTGTAACCCCAAGGCTGTGTGGTGCAAGAGAACATGAGGGTTCTCTGTGATACGTGGTGCAAAGAGAAAGGTCTCCTGAGAGAGATGCTGCATTTTGGAACTTTGCTAGTAATTTTCTCAGCATTGGTTCTGGTGAGGTTCACATCTGTAAGTTTTTGATCCAAATAAAAACAATAATCCCAAGAAAAAAAGGCAGTCATTGTGACCCCTTTCTCCCTATATACAAAGTAAAACTAGAGGCAAGGACCCAAACCAACTCTATTAAAGCAAACAGGAAGATTTTTGCTGATGTCATTGGAAATTGGATCAGGCCCCAGAGGAAGATCCATTTCCCAGCTAGATGGCAGTAGGGCCCAGCTAAGAGAAACGTGTAGCAATGGAAGGGCTGAGTCAATGCCTCAAAGTCAAAAAATGTCAGGAATAAAAGACTGCAAACATTGCAAACCCCTCCAGCGTTTCCCATCATTGCATATACAGGAAATAGTGACATTTCAAACTGAGTGACAAGTTTCTCTAATGGTTGTGCAAATCTCTTGGCAGTTATTTGGGGGTTTTGTGAACGCCTGCTCTCATACAGTCCAGCGTGGTGATCACCAGCTCTTCAACATGGTGCCTCCATACCTCATTTTGAAATGAAGCAGTTCAATCCAGCTTTAGCAGCTATTCTTTCCAAATACCTGGAAAGATCATCCCACTTTAGATGCAGCCACACAGTCACTTCCAGCCTTAGAACCTGAGCTTTTTTTTGAGCAGTACAATTAAACACAGAAACAACCAAGCAGCCATCTAAGACTGTGACACTTCACAATGATATATTGACAATAAGAACAACTCTCTATGTCTGTCCTTAACTCATACCAGATTTGATTTATGAAGGGCAAGCAACACTCTGCAACTCCCTGCTGTTGGCCAAGAGCCCACATATCCCACTAGGAATCAAAAAGGTACCAGACAATTCTGGAGATGTTGCTAGTCTTTAGCTCTCAGAGTTTTAGGTGGCAGTTACATGACACACAGCTGCAACTGCCTTAGAGAACAGCCTTCATCCTGCCATCCCAGATACCTGCTGCAGGGAGAGGTTGCACTCCTGTCCCAGAGAAACCTTGCATGGGACCCCCTGCCAGCTGCTGGACACCCCTAGCCAAGAGTTATCTGGGCTCACACTGCCCTTAAGAAATGATGAAAGACATCGTCACTTTGCAGGCTTGGGTCCTAAGGCCAGAAGGGTCCAAGAGGAGGTTTTGCACATCCAGTGACCTGCACTCACTCCTGCACTCACTCCCCTGTAGCTCTGAGGGCTGTGATTGTTCCTAGCTGAGATGGGGATTAGGAAAGCCAGGCAAGAAATCCAGTGCAGGTATTTCTTTCATGCTCATGTTGGATGTATACACCTTCTTGGCATTTCCTAGAGATTCTGAGCACTATTTTGTTGCAGTTTCTTAACTGCAGGGTTTATTCTCATGTTGAAAAGCCCTTATGAGCTCCCAATGCACATCTACTTTTCCAGCATTTTGGGGGTGGCTCTTCCCTAAAGGAGGCAGAAGAAGCAACACTGCTCTCTCTTTCTTTCCACTCTTTTGGACCAGCTTTGCTGCAAGGATTCCTCTGTGAGGAATGCAGTTCAGCAGAAAGTGGGGAAGTATCAAGCTGCTCCTGAATCCCCGGTTCTGAAAACCTTGTTAGCAACCTCTGTGATGGCTGGGCGGAACAGGGTGGGAGAAAGACAGAGGAGCCTCTGTCTGAGCACACCCCCTCCCCCAGGTCCTCCTTGCTGCAGCTGGTGCCTACATTAGACAGTAGCACAGATGATTAAGAAGAGGAAAGATAATTATGTGTCAAGATGATGTAGCAGAACTCCTATGTTGGACAGAAGGAGCCAGACAGATGCATGAGGTGGGCTCAGCGATGGACGCTGACAGCCAGGTGTGTCCCTCACAGGGAGTTAGAGGGAAGAGGGGAAATCCCAGCCTACCAAATGTGCTGGTTTTAACTGCAAGGGTGTCCTGGGAAGACTATGGCACTGAGAGAGCTAGCACGGAGGTAGCTCTGAGTGTCTACTAGTCACAACAAGGAACTGTCAGATCACAGGTTTTTCCTCAAAACAGTGTCTCTTCTTCAGGTGAGTGCCTAGGAAGGATAGTCAGTATTTGCCCTGCTAAGACCCTGTATTCCTTTTGTTTCAGTTTTTGACCAGTGATTGTGAAACCTCTGACTTCAGTGATAGATTAGACAAAGTAGAGAGTTGGTCTCCTGCAATTTTTAAAATGATCTGACTAAAAGAGTTTAACACCACTGGTGTAGCACAGTGTGCCATTTCTTGCAGTCTATGGACACAGCCAGCATTGCTGTAATTTCCCTCTCACGTTCCCCACCACTTACACCCACCATCTTCCAGAGGCAGAAGTGGCCCTGCAGCGTGTAATGACTTTCCCAAGAGCACTGAGAGTCTTGGGGTATCAAGCTGCAGCTGGAAACAGGAATTCCTGGCTCTTCACAATCCTAATGTTGTACCTAATGCTGTGATGGCAGGCCAAGCTCAGCAGAGTCATTGTCAGACTAAGGAGCGGCATTAAAAAGTACAGAAGGATAAAGAAGAAAAATAATATGCAAATATTTTTGTTGTTCCATAACCCACTGATTGAGAGCTAAAAGGATGAGAATTGGGGTGACCTTGAGGCACTAACAAAAAATGAGTATCACTCATACTGTAGTCTTGAGCACTGTATAAAAAGAAAAAGGGAGAGATAAGGAGAAAGGGAAGGACAGATAGATGGATAGATAAACAGATAATTAGATAATATGAAAACAGTATTTCAAATTCGTCCCTGCATACCACAGCATCTCCAGCTGGGTGAAACTTTTGGGATCTTTACAAAACCACTTGTACTAAACACAGTTCTTTCTCTCCATAGCAGGCCACAGACAGACTTCCTTTATAGACCCAAATTCTCATTTGGGATTCGTGTTCCAGTGAGGCTGGTGCTGTAACAATTTCAGCGTTATTAATCTTGGTCCCTGACAGTATCTGTAGTATTTGACAGCATTACTGGCAATAATATCTGCAGTGCCGACAATGGCAGAGATAATATCCCTCAGTATTATTAGCATTAGCAGGGATCATATCTGCAGCCTGTTATTGGCGGGAGCAGACGTAATGTGTCCAGTATTATTAGTATCAGTAGTAATAAAACCCACAGGCTTGTTAGTATGATCAGTGCTAATATCAGCAGTAGGTTTGTGGGAGAGGAGGGGACGGGGTGATTGCTACTGTAAATGGCAATAATACTCAGGCTGTTTGCAGTAAAGAAATCCCCAGTGGAGATGGGGGAGCAAACCTGAGAAGGCAGAAGTTCCTCCTTTCCTTTCTTCACCTGTCATTTTGATGATTAGAGTGATTTACACTGAAGTGAGCGATGCAGGGCTGTGTCAGTGCAGGACCGTAAAGGGTCACCAACATTTTGGCAGATCTGGTGGTGTTTTCCACAGAGTGTTAACTGTATCAGTGCAGGTGGTTCACCGTACTCTTCAAAACAGGGTTGAGCTATGCAGAACAGGGTGTTGCCTACTAGCAGTAGGAGCATTTGCACTTAGTCATGTAGCTGCAGGATGGGCAGCATCATTGCACTTCTCTTTGCTGCTACACACATAATTTTCTGACTGTTACTACCACGACACCCTCTACTGAGAAGCACTGCTTTTGTTACAGGTGGTTTTCTCTTCCCTCACTCCAAATGGGAGGACTCTGACTGAGGGCAGGGTTTTGACAGTGTTCAGCCTGGGGATTTTCCTACCTGGCCATGATCTCATTTTCCTGCTGGGAAAGTAGAAATGCCTCCTTCAGGTGGAGTGTGAGGCAGGGAGATGTGCAACAGTCCCAGTCCTCAAAGTTGTTTTTTTAAGATACTGCCCCAGGACATCGAATGTCCTGAGGAAAATTTTGAACTCAGTTCTTTAAGTGGACAATTGTTTAAGTCTCCTTGCAGAGAGGAGAGATGTGTCATGTGTTTAAGGAGGTCTGAGTTTTTGAGCAGATACACAGCAGCTGAGTG